GACTAGCCTCAGCCAGACTGAGCATAACAAGCCTCAGCCAGACTGAGCATGACTGCCCTCAGCCAGACTGAGCATGACAAGCTTCAGCCAAACCGAGCATGACACAGCCTTAACCAGCCTGAGTTACTTCAAGCCACTAAATTACTTGCTAAGCCAGTTAATCATAGCTTGACCCCAACTGAGCACGCATGCAGAACTCGGTCAAGGCCATTCATGCAGAAGTCATGCTTGTGGCATTAGTATACACACTTGGTCAACATTCCAGGTTCATGCTATTACACCACTCTTCACTTAGTCAAATTCTAAAACTCCATTTTTGGGAATAATTTGAAACTCTACATCTTTGACATTCTTACATGTTTCCTTTACAAGTCAAATTATTTTCTCATTCTTTCCTTACCGATCAAGCCTAACTTGAATCAACCCCCCCTCGTTCACTTCAGACTCACCAAAATAAAGACAGTAGTGTGGCAAACACAAACTTATAATTTTATTGCATTTTCAACTTCACTCTGCATGGAGTTTTTCTTACAAGTTCAACTTCACTTAGCATTGCGTTCTTCTTAACTTTACTTTGCATTCAGTTTTTCATTCATTTCACCCTTGGCTTGGCATTGAGTTTCAAGTCAACATTTTCATTCATCCCAGATACACAAGTAAAAACAATGAAATGAAAACATAACTCAAATTTTATTTATTCACAAACTTATACATACGTTCTTTACAGCAATCCGAAAAAAAAGAAAAAAAAAACAAACAAACAAAAAACTTGTACAACTCACACCAATAACTCTTCCTCACTTGACACGAGGTCTTCTTCTTCAACGCCCTCATCTAGGGGGGTCTGGGCCACGTCATCTTCATCAATCCGTACACCACTTAGGTCCAAGTCTGGGAACAGTTCTTTCGCCTTCAGCTTGAACATCTTCCAGCCACTGTCCCAGAACTCAGCCATTTCGTGTTTGTAAAAGTCCGACCGCTGGAAGCTCTCAATAACTTCTGTTTCAGTCCTGCCCCCAGCGGTCGTTCCCGACGAGCCCGTCCCCCCAAACACCTCCCTTGCCAAGTTGCTGGCGACCGTGGCATCGACCGCCATCTGAAATTCAGCAGACCCCTTGAATTGCTCCACTGCTGCGACATACATTTGTAGAAGTCCGACCGCTGGAAGCTCTCAATAACTTCTGCTTCAGTCCTGCCCCCAGCGGTCGCTCCCGACGAGCCCGTCCCCCCAAACACCTCCCTTGCCAAGTTGCTGGCGACCGTGGCATCGACCGCCATCTGAAATTCAGCAGACCCCTTGAATTGCTCCACTGCTGCGACATACAAATCGGGGTATGCTGCCCTTTCAAAGGCGGCCTTGGTTTTTTCCTCCTCTAACTCCTTCTCCAATCTCGTCTTCTCCTTCATGGCCTTGGTGCGCTCATCCTCCAGCTCCTACTATAACCCAGCAATCTTCAAGTCTGCTTCCTCCTTTTCTTTGATCTGCTGGGCACGCAGCTCTTTATTGCTGGCCATAGCCTCTTCAAACCACTCGGTGGCGACCATGCAAGCATTTTGAGCATCCCCCAACTTCTTCTGCTCGCCAGCCAGCTGGAACTCGAGTGACACTACCTTGCGGCGTTCGTACTCTAGCTCCAACTTGACCGCGAGCAGCTTAGCATGGGCTCGCGCGGCAACATTGCGCTGTACGATCGCCAGTACCTCCATCTTCTTGGCCTTTTCAGCCTCTTCCAAGCCCCTGGCGCACATACTCCGCGCTGCCCTCCTCCAGCTTACGCTCTCCCTCTTGATATTTTCAAGTTGGGCTTCCACCTACTCCAACTTCTCCCTATCGTTCCTCGCTTCGATCTTTGCAGCTGCTGCTTTCTGAAGTAGGGCTCCTGCCAAGGCGTTCGCCTCCATCTGGGCAGAGTACAGCCCCTTTAGCAATTCGGCCTCGGTAAAACTGGCCATCGCACGAACGGTTGCATCTTCCACCACTCCCAACAACCGATCGGCAGTAGTCCTGGCCTCCCACACTTGTCCCTCCAGCCGACCAGACACGGCCGGGGGGTGGTAGACGGCGGTCTTCAATCTGGCCCTCTCTCCCTCTCCCTCTCCCTCTCTTTGGGGCGCAGGACCCCCCCGGGGCTGTTCCTCTCCCCTTGGCTCAGGACCAGTTGACCCCCCTTCCACTTGTATTTCGGGGGCGACCCTCACGACCTCCACCTCTGGAACCACCTCTGTCACCCCCTCCTTCATCATCTTCAACGATAGCCCCTCCTCACTCCCAATTCTCAAACCGGGGGCATCTGTAGCAACCTCCGTGGCCACCCTCCTTCTCTTCTTCTTCTTCAAAGGTTCCCCCTCCTTGTTCGCCCTTTCCTGCACTGGATCAACCGGGGGCGGTCGCGGCTCAAAACTACCCAAGTCTTTTCCCCCCAATGGTTTGGGTCACGGTCGGATCCGCTTCCTGGGGATCGGCTTTGGGGCAGGCCCCAGCTGGCTCTCCTTATATTTGTCCGCTCGCGCGAACAACCTTATTTCCTCCTCCTCCTCTGCCTTCCTTTGCCTCTCCAACTCCTCCCCCGCTGGATCCCTTTCCAACGATTGCGGTCCCAAGTTCAGGGAAAATAACCTTGAAGGCACGACCAACTCGTCCCATCTCACGCCTTTTTCTTCCCTCCATTCCCTCACACTCTTCACTCGGTCCTCCGCCGCTTTGTCTAACTTTGGCTCGACCGATTTGGTGGGCACCTTCCACGTTTCACGAACTCCCGCCCCACCATTCGCCGTCACAAAAAACCATCTCGGCCTCCATCCCTTTACTGATGATGGAAGCCCTGCGACCAACCCTCTTTCCGCCACCGCCTGCAGAGTGACCCAAGTCTCCTGCTGACCAGAGGCCTTGTAGCAGGAGAAGAACTCCTCCACTGTCATCGTCACTCCTCCAGTTACCTGAAGCCAGGTACTCGCGCAGGCCATTATTATCTTCCAAGCATTTGGCATCAGTGCCCTGGCGTCGCTTCCAACTTGTTCAAAATGTCCACCACCACTCGGGGGAGAGGTAGCCTCAAACCCCCTCGGAATGCCTCCTCGTATAAGCTGAATTCACCCGGCCGCACGTCCGATGCCCTCTCCGTGGCTGTGGGCAATCTTAGCCCTATTTCAGAGGGCACTTGGTACTTCCTCCTTATTCCCTCCAACTCCTCTGTCGTCAGCACGGATCTATCCGGTTTAGTGTGCCAATGGTCTGGCTCCACCTGGGTAATCGGTCTCGCGACAGACATCATTGTTGTAGGGCGAGCCCGCACAGCCTAACTCGTTTCTTCTCTACCCCTACGCTCTGCGCGGTATCGTTCCGCCAAGTCCACCGCATCATCGTCACCCAGTGGGTCGACTCTTGCAGTTGTTGCTACCTCTTGGGCCATCTCTCTCGTGAGTCTGTGAATAGCTTCAGCTGCTGGGACGAGATACTCCACAAAATGTCGCAAGAGTGTATCACTTACAACAAAGGAGTCTACACTTGAAATGTTTTGATTTTTCGAAAAAACGTAGGTAAAACGTATAATCCCAAAAGCCCAACGCTTGTCTGTATTCTAGGGGTCACAATTAATTACCGCCAGTTTGAAAAATTTTCAACCATCCACCAAAACGGTCTTTTCAACACCCATTATGACCTATCATTTCACCTCTGGCCCAACGCCTAACCTCCCCCACCACGAGATGATGACACGTGTACGACCACAATTCACTGCACCCTTCCCCTACCTTGTCTTTTCCACTTCAAGTCACCACGTGACCCGTCGCCTCTCAAACCTCACCCCTGCCACTTCTCCCTTCGCGGTCGGCCCTCCTCATGGTCGGCCACTCCACTCGGCTACCCTTCGTGGTCGGCCCTCCTCATGGTCGGTCACCCCATTCGGCTACCCTTCGCGGTCGCCCCTCCGCCTAGTCGGTCCCTCCACTCAGCGACCCCCCTCCTGCAGATCTCTAACCACCCTCATTTTCTTCATTATTCCTTTCATTGTACTAAAGCTACACGCGGAAATGGGGGACTACTAACATGAGTAGGCCCATAAAGGCTACAGCCCACCATGAACAGCTCAAGCCCACCACTTATGGCCCAATACATAACCCAACTGATAAGGCCCAGCACCATCTGGAAGTCAACATGGCATGAAGGACCAATGATATTCAAATACATTGCAGCTAAAGGGCAAGCCACATCAGCAGACAAAGATCTGCAAAATTATTGCCACTGCATATCGCCATTAATGTAGCCCCTCACTGCATTTATTACAACAACACCTCTCCGTCGGGACAGCACGCCCTCACCCTGAACAAAGTAAGCTACAGCATAGACTTTTGGCCAAAGTGACAGGTCGGAAGGGACAACGAAATGATGACCAAATGATATAAACAAACGTTGAAGACAAGAAGAATGTTAAGTTTTTTATCTCTAATTCATCTCTACTCTCTACTTCTCTCTCTGACTTGCTCGTCGGAGGATTCGCTGGGGGACTCTCCGTTCTCCGTTGAACTCGTGTGCAGGTTCTCTGGTGGGTTTGATCATTCAGATTCCGATTCGAGAAGTGTGGATCAATCCAACCCGCTCTACTTGGAACCCGTTGCATCATCACTGTATCATCAATCATAATCATATTCCTTTTCTTATGTTGTGTGCTCATGGTGCATAATACGTATATTCATATTTTTAACACATCGGTAAAATCATTAAGGTATGTCCCTAACTTACACAAGACAGACAAGATACTCTGCATGAACGAAAATAATGTATATAAGCATTAGAGCAACATTACCTCAATAACCAACTTTTGAGAATTTTACCAAAGACTATAACATTACCATCACTTAAAATAATGTTGAATATAATTTACATATTAATTATTAATTTACCCTAAAATTGCCAGATTAAATATGGAAGAAATTTAGATGGCTCACTTGGATCATTTGACAATCTTGATATCTTCTGGATCAATTACCAACGTAAAATAAAATAAAATCTCAAAACTACCAAATCTGGTTAGATACTCAATCTTGCCAAACAAACTACTAGTCGCAAAATGCCAACTTTTATGTGGAGACAATTTCTATGAAAAACTACTAGGCTATCTTCAAAAACAACTGTAACTAAAACAAAACAATAAAAGACAACTCTTTTAAATATTGATGGTTTCGTTGTAACATACAATTTTTGGAATATAGAATTCCTTGTTTCTTCATGGGAAAAAGAAGCCATCTGAAAATTATTGCACTCGGGCCAGTGCATCTCAAGAACATTTCTGGGATCCAAACACTATCTTTTGAGTGTACAATTGAATGAATAAACAGATCATGTTGTATGGAGAAAACAGCAAAGTGGAATCATCCAACCATTACTTCGATGTCTTATTAGCCTGCACTTTGGTCTGGGACATCACCCGTAAGCGACTGGCAATTTCTGTGAAGGGTGGCCTCACCACAGGATTAGGGGCCCAGCACTCCTCCATTAGCCTTTTCCATTCCGGATCACAGAAGCTTGGAATGGAAGGCCTCAGTGTGTTGTTCACAATGCCTCCTGCATGTCACAGAGAAAGAGAGAGAGAGAGAGAGGATCAAATTGTGTTAAAATTAGCTCATTGTTCGTTGGGATTGCCTTGAACCAATCTAACAATTGATTGGGTTTTTAAACTAAACACTGTAAGATTAAGGATAGAAGATTGTTACATATCTCACCTATAATTGCACCATAGTGCATGTTCGCATAAGGCTCCTCACCAGTGAGAATCTCCCATAGGACAATACCAAAGGAGAACACATCAACCTGCAGATATAAATAAACAAAGAAGTGGGTAGATTTGTACAGGCAGCGTGTGTCCATCCAGATCATGATCTTGAAACCAGGACAAAGAGAAGAACAGAGAATTCATGCTCCACCAATGTTTAGTTTTTTCTTTTCTTTTCTTTTCTTTTTCATTTTCATTTTAGTAAAAACAGAAGACAGACAGTTTAAAGCCACCTTAACAAAGAAAAATTTAAACTTCTCTGAAGTGAGAGGTAAAGACATTATGACATCGATAGGCTTGTAAGAGATAAAAATCATATATTGGTTTCGCTAATGCTCAAGTGTTGTATGTACACATGTATACAGTGGCATCTTACCTTTTCAGAAACTTTGTTGCTGCTGCCATTCAGCAGCTCTGGAGCCATCCATGGTAGGGTTCCCCTAACTCCACCAGAAACCAAAGTGTTTCGCTTAATTTTTGACAGGCCAAAATCACCTACCTAAGAAACAATGTTACTACGAATCAGAAACTGATTTAACTTGAAACCTATCAATTTCTTAATGATGTGTATGGGATGAAGTGATGATATTAGCAACATTTTTTCATAAGTACAAAATATGAAATGCGATTCCATCAGGATAACCTTGCAAATAGGTCGTGAAGGATCTTTCAAGTTCACCAGCAAGTTGTCACATTTCAGATCAAAATGTACAATATTCTTTGAATGTAAATACTCCATTCCAAAAGCTGCATCCATGGCGATAATGAGTCGCTTGCGACGATCGAGATGTCTGCAAATTAAATCATACCAGGAGGAAGAAGAATATAAGAGGAAAAACTGCTTCAACCTGAAAGGAGAAAATCTTCCTTTTTTTTTGCATCTGAATTGCTTGTGAAGCTAATCTGTAATATTTGAAATTTTAGCACAATTTTAGTCAAGAACATGACCACAATTATGCCAAACCCAAATTTGTGGACCATGTTAGAGATATATTACCTCTCCTTGCGAAGTAAAGCATGCCTTAGAGAACCATCAACCATATACTCTGTCACAGTAGCTAGTGTGCCCCCGGGTCCATCTTGCACTACACCATAAAATGCCACGACGTTTGGGTGGTGAAGCTTGGACAGAATTTCAGCTTCTGTCCAGAACTCTATGGTCTAAGAATGACAGTAATATTAGTATCTAATGTGCCAATGAGAAGTCTCACACATGAATATTAACCAATGAGAAGCAAATAAGTATTAATTGACTTGTAAGTGAGGCAAACAAAAAAGGGTTGATGTTATCAAACTCCCTTCAATTGCTTATTATCAACTGCTATTGATTGGTTGGTTTAGCAAACAATTTTACAGCTAACACATCATATATGCGCCAACCGCTTTGCTGCAGTCATGAGCCTAGTGGTTATGTATCATCTGCAGACTATGCACTATTAGTTTTCTTGTCATATGGAACAGTGTCTTTTGGTAGTTTAAGGTCATTAGATAAAGGGGCTCATTCAAAAGAACACATGCATCCGTAATAAATTTTTTATAGGAAATAACACAAATACACACACAAAACACCAACTGGGCCAAAGAAGTGAACCCACAGACTTTCTCCAAAAGGGCCTAACTTTTGGGGGACTGATGGTGACTTACACAGGCTTGCTAGGTTGCACATATAATTAGTTTGATTTAACGATTTTAGCTGTCTGATTTTGAACAACAGAATACTAAATGTTATGGCAAACAGCTACAATTGTTCAAATCAAGCATAATTTCTAAAGATTTTTGCACTTGGGCAGGGTTCACCACATTAGTCTCTATTTCCGAAAAGTAAAATATAACAAATCGCAAAAAACTGAGCGACGGCACACAAAAAACATTCCCTGACCAAAAGCAACGCTAAATCATGCAACTATAAACTCTCTAGGGAAAAAGACACTAATATCAGAGAGGTAAGGAGCGCATACCAATCTCTCTTGCTCTGACAATCGACCAGTGAAGCAGCTCTTCTTGATTCTCTTAATTGCAACATCTGTTCCTCTCCATTTTCCGTGATAGACAGTCCCAAATGTGCCAGAACCAAGTTCCCTCAGTTCTTCAAGATCTTCGTTATGTATGATCTAATGAAATCACCCCGGAGAAATAATTAATGAATGTTAGATGACAAAACCTGAGGCCAACAATCTCAGACTAAGAGATTGACACAATAAGGAAGCAATAAAATAAAATCCTTGCAAGTATGTGTATGCTTCTGTGTGCATCTCTGTTGCACAAGGTAAGAGAGTGGAGAAGTACATGCTTGTATTAGGTTCAAAAGTTTGAAGTGCACAGGTCTCCAAGAATGCTCTAAAATAACTAAAAGTATTGATAAATTTTTAAGAAAAATATCTAGAATCTAACTAACCAATAAAAAGAAATTAATAATTTTGTATTTTAAAAAAATGTAAAAAAAATAAAATTGATTGATGACTGGAGAGATGAGTTGCTGACCAGTTAATTAACATAAAATCCAAAACTTTAAGCTGGAAATTCAGAATTTCAAGTCCATGGCAAAAGAAGTAATTAAGTTCCAGAACATGCTGTTTGCTCACGAATCTCAATATTGAGTTTTGGCTCTTCTTTTTAAGCCATAAATCAGCATAGGAGCTAGTTTTCATGCCAATAAAAAAGGGGATCTCTCATATTGTTTGGAATTCAAATAGGAAAAATTAGTGAATTGGTGACATTTTATGACCACGTAAGATGGAAACTTCTCCTTGACCAATACATAACTGTATATATGATTTGGAATTGGTAAGAAGGGTAGGGATGATTAGATGATCTTTGTTGAGTTGCATAATATACACTATACAAGTAACATTATTTTGAATGCAAGCACAACCTGGCAAGGAAGGTGGGTATGAAGACATACATAATTAACCATTGTCCACATCAATATATCAATATCACTTCATGCAAAAACATATATATGATTTGTGTAACAAACCCCAAAAATTAATAGCGGAAGGTGGAGCTTATTGATATATTTTTTTTTAGAAAGAAGCCAACTGAAGAACAGGGCTGTCCTCAGGTCATTTATCCAATAAATGAACAGAGGATACACATTTATGATTTTTGGTGTTTCTTGCATGTATAACATGGAAAGATTCATTGAGCGTCAACTATCTAGCTATGCCAACAAATGATTTGTGCTCTGATAAAACATCCTCATAATTGGTTCTAGTTCAATGCTTAGCTTATAGTGCTTAACCGCAAGAAATAAGTTAGTTAACATTCCTTAAAACACGATATCAAAAAGAATCACAACCGTACACACTTCTGGGGGTTGCAGATGTCTATGGTATGCTTTTGTATGTCACTTTCAACTAAATCATAGGCTGCGCTGCAGAAGGTGGAAATTAGGTACAACTGTGACATGATTGATTCCCTGAATCACATAAAAGCTAAAACAAACAAAACATTTAAATTACAACCAAAACTCAGGAAATCTCTACATTTTTTTTCCAATTACTTCATGATTTCCAAGAAAAATTTAATCCTGTAGATTTCAGTATAACTTCCTATATTCACTAGGATGGATAATTCGGAAAACTTCAACGCATAAATGATAAGAAGACAATAGTACTTTATCATAACTAGTGGACCTTCTTCACTACTTCAATGTGCAAGAACTACATGTACCAACCATCCAACACACAATACAAAAAAATGATGCATCATACCTGCAAGCTACTGATATCAAAATCTCCTAAAGACGGATCCAGAGGAGGTAGGCCAATATTCCTGGTTCCATCCTGAAAGCATAAAAGTGATTAGGAGAAAGATAGCAGAAAAGGATAGTTAGGAGAATTAGTTCTGAATTTAGACCACCATAAAGTACCTCATACTCTGAGTCTGGTGCTCTTTGGTCTTCCACAAAAATATCAGACCGCATGCCATCACTGCCCTCCACCTGAGAAGGATTATAATCTGAATGCAAACCTGCAGTGTCAGCTCCAACCATACCAAGCATTTCTTTCTGATGATCATCACCATAATTCATCTGGGAATCCACACAGCTTAGAGAAATTTCATCCATTAATGGTGTAAATTTATAACTTATAGGAGCTTCTTCTTCAACTTTTGGAAGTGCAGATGAAAAACCAAAATGGTCCTGGTCAATAAGAGAAACACCCTTTCGAGCAAACTCATCTCCTGCCAATTTCTGGAAAAATGACCAGTGTTTAGGATCCTGATTTTCTATGTTGAAGCTCAAACCAGCTCCGTCTTTCTGTAGCGGACTAAAACCGGATGAAACCTCAGACAATATTGCCTTAGAGAATATATCCGAAAGGAAATCACGAGGGAATCGGTCATTAATATCAATCAGGATGTCTCCCTGCTCTGGTTTGGAAACCCCGACAGATGGTTCCCTAGAGCTCTCCATCCAAGCAGAAGGTTGATCCTGCCCCTGAGTATTATTAGTAGTGAAATTGCTGTCAGCCCTGTCACTCCACTGAGGCTCTGGAAGACCATATGTAGGATTCTCACGATGCTTTACAGAAGCCACTTCGCTTGCAGCCAGAAATTCTGATCCAACTTCTGATTTTTCACCAACCAGGAGGTTCTTATCCTCATATTTGGTGCAGTTGGCTTCATTCTCATCCTTCAGAATGCTATCATCATTGGTAACATATTTATTATCTACAGGATTTGATAATCCCTGCTTCAAGTTTGGAAGTTGGGCAGCCCCATCTGCAGTGGTGTGAGGATCCTTATACAATTGCTTTGCAGTTGAGATAGGCTGCTCAGTCTGTAGAGAGACAGATTCTGTGATAAAATCCGGTGGCGCTACACCAGCAGGTGAATGGTTTATAAGAAAATGAGAATCAAGTGAATCATCTGACTTTGAAAACCTGTTCAACAACTCTGCCTGTTCTCGCGGAATTCGCTCAGAATAAAAAATCCTTTGAGGAGGCACAGGAGGCTCAAGGTAGCTCAAATCAATTGGATCGGTCTCAGAGTTACCATATCCAGGAGTGAAAGCAACAGTAGATGTGTAGCAGACATTGTCATCAGTGTTAGGAACATGTGATGGATTAATGGAACAAAGGAGTGAAGACACCTGTACAGGTTCCAGCCTTCCCTCACTCTTCGAAGGGTTCATTTCTCCCTGCAGTGTGGAGATGACAGCAGATGCTTCTTCAACTGGAAAATAATCCTTAACATTACAATCAAATGGCTGTGAGGAAACACAGTAGTCCTTTGATGAAGGTTGAATTTTTTCATCTCCACCCTCTTGCTGAACTGAACCATCACTTTCCAGTTTCAATTCCTTTGCTTGCATTTGTGGATCCTGTATGCATAAGGCACTGAATGGCTGCCCTTCAGTCAAACATCTTTGCTGAGTTGTAAGCCCATGAAGAGGCGGTGGATGAGAAATTTCTCCAAAAGGTGAGTAATTAGGAGGATGAGAGTCGTAACCATAAGGCAATGCGTACTGCTTAGCTTCTCCCTGATGCACCATCTGGCCATTATAAAACTGTGAATATGTTCCGTAAGTACTGGAGAAATTTGGTAGAATCGGTTGAGAGGATTGAGTAACTGATGGTGAGACCATATAACTGGTGAATGTTGAAGTGTTAACCTCAGCAAAATCAGTTGCAGCCCCACCTGTGTCCCTCTCAAAATTCTCTCCATCTAGTTCATCTAAGTTATTTCCTGAAGAGCTCGCCAGACCATGCAGAATAGAGTTCTTGCTTGATCCCACATCTATGCCATTGACAGCAACTACATACTGAATCTCAGAATCACCATCACTGTTTCCCAGATCAAAATGAGCATCTTCTAAATCACTCAAGGAGAACAGAAACATTCTCAGTCTTTTTGGACCTTCTCCATCTTGTTGTACATTGCATTCCTCCATCATATTCCGCAGATCCTCATCACAAGACACAGAAACTAAGGCATCAAGATCCTCCTCGGGAAGCTGATATTTAATTGTACGAGTTTGATTATAAACTGCTATTGCTTTCTGCCACAACTCCTGCCAAGTGATGTCCTTTCTTATACTGATAATTCGGGTTTCACCTCCTACATACCTGAGCTTTCCATCACTTGGCCGAGGTAAGATTCTACCCCCAAAGCTGCATAAAATCTTAATTTTTGTTGATGAGTTTTCAGATGCTCCAGAAGAGGCATATTCTTGCACAGTTCCTCGATAACTGTTGTAGTCCCATGAAGTTCGTGGTACCGACTGCATGGATCCATAGTTACTTTTGTCATCATATAAAGAAGTGTTCTTCCGTTCAAACTCTTTTGGAACTTTTTCTACTGCAGCAAGCATTGAAATATCTGACCCACTTTCAGACCCAGTATGAGTGATGCCTAAAATGCCTTTCAGTTCCGAGTAACCAGTTGAGTAGTTGGGATCACCAGCGGTGTTAGGAATAAATGGCTTCTTAGGACACACCCGATCACGCATAAATTCCAGAGAAAACTCCTCACCTGTCTGTATTGAGTAATTAAGTACTACAGGTTTAGCTTCTGAAAATTTGATCTCGGGATGTCTCATATTGGAGTTTACGCAGCTAGCATGGTCAAACATGCACCCCTGAGATGTAGGTTCGAGATCCTCATTTCCAGGTTCCATGGAATTGTACTGATCATGGTCATGATTTTTTAACTGTTCCATCATAAAGTTGCAGAGTTTCCCCTCCTTATTAAACTCAATTTCAATGGGGGAAAATGCCAATGCCAGAAGTTCATAAGGATTCTATAAAAGCAATACAGAAACAGCACATTTGCATATATGCCATAATAAGAACTTTGCTAGCAGACAATGAACTTAATGCATTGAATAAGTTTAAATTATAAACAAGGCTACCGAAACTTGAAATTAGCTTCAGCTAGTGACTACAGTCAGTTACCATGACTAAGAACCCTCATAGCATCAGCATTCTTGAGGATGCTTAGGTTTAGCCACAGTCTTCTCCAACAAGCAGAGGGAAGTACACAAATGTAAACATACAAAGCTGCATAAAAATATTTACACACATATCAAACAGAGAATTTAGTTAAAAATCTGATGAAAAATGAAGATATAAGAGATATTCCAAATAAAATGATCATTAAAAGTCAATAAAGAGTAAACATGAGAACTCCATGTGATCATTTACCCAAATAAAGGCCCCTCACTCAATACTAGTTTTAACACATTGTGGGGTTAATAAGTGGAGGTAACTCAGTGTTACATCCTCCAATAATTTTTCTGATTAAAAGATATTGCTTTGCTTCATTTGCTTGGTAGCTTACTCATTATTGAATGAAGAAAATTCCTTTCCTAAACCAAAAATATTTATGCAACTTGAAAGTTGAGGTACTTGTTTAATGAGAGTCCACAACGGTGAGCTCCACTGAGTCTATTCCTTCCTTTACCTTATTTGATCTTTTGGTATTCCACCTTTCTTTTTGTTTACCTTTCCCAGATAATACCCCGCTGAGGCTTGTTTGGTTCATGGATTTGGGAAGGGATTTGGAAAAAGAAAAGAAAAAGGTGTGTAAAATGTAGATAAAATGTAGTTATATTTTACACACAATTCACCTGCATTTTCCCTTTCCCTTTCCCTTTTCAAATCCCTTCCCAAATCCATGAACCAAACACAACGTAAAGGTATTCCCAAATATTCTCTCCCATCCCAGGAATTACAGCCCTTTCTTCTGTCTGTCAAGCACAAGATATTCTTTCAATTTCTTTATTTCCAATTGGTTTTAGCAGAGAGTAGACGCCTGTTTATTTTCATTAATCATTGCTCACTTTAAGCCCTCCTTCTCCGAGAAAGTCAATCTTTTCAATCTTCTAAGACAATAAAATTTTTTAGATTTTTCTTACTGTGATGAGCTAAAATTATAGATTTTTTTCTTTAGCCCAGATTTTCATCTCACTGCAGTTGTGAGGTTACAAGTTAAGACTTTAATGTTGTGTTTGGTTGAAGGATTTGAGGAAGGATTTGGAAAGAGAAATGGAAAAGGTAGGCGAAATATGAATAAAATATGCCTAAATTTCACCAGATTTCACATACCTTTTCCCTTTCCCTTACCCTTTCCCTTTCCAAATCTTTCCTCAAATCTCCCGACCAAACACAACGTAAGGTTATCTCCCTATCCGTATTAGGCCTGCTATTGACTTCCTCAATAATTTCTATGCTCATTATAATAAAACAGGTCCTCCTGTAGAGGCACCACTTGTTGCAATGAAAGAGTTAGGATCTATACAACCATTATTGGTGTGCCTACTTTCTTCCTTGTGTCTATCTTCATCTTTTTCTTCCTTCTTTTATGTTATCTAAATATTCCTCATTGAACGGTACTCTAGATGGATCCATCTAAAAAATCCCTTAACAACTCTTCCCTTGATTTCAGGTAAATCATTTTCATATTTCTCGTCTATGAACAACCCTTCTTATGACTGTTGTTCAAGATTAGCTCACCCTGCACCCGGTCTCTTTCAAATTCAACAAATCCTTTATTCCAGCTCTTCGGGGTTGGCTACATGTATCTACTTTCACACTTTGGCCACTATATTTCAAATCAACAAATGACAACAAATCTTTCAAATTTTTGCTCTGCATTCTAGTTACAACACCAAATACCAATACCCAAAAGTCATTTTGCTTTCTGTATTCCATTCCAAGCCAAACTAGAGTAATCTCTAAATAAACCCAATTAACTATATTTCTCAACAAAAAATAAATAAATAAATAAAACATCAAAGAATAACTTGAAAAGCTCAAGAATATGATGACTGAATTTGTGAAAACAAGAGTTTCCATTATTAGCAAGAGACTTGTCAGTAGAGAAATAATGACAGCAGTAGCCCTAAATCAGATCCAAAGGTAGATAAATCTAGATCTTTTTAGGAGAAATCGTTTATTAGATAATAAATCATTAATTAATTAATTAACTTGAAATTGTACCTGATAGAGCAATGGTTTTGGGTGAACTCTGGTCTGGTCTCGAAGGCTCTCAAAAGAACACAAAGAAGGAGGTATTGGATTTGGAGTGAATATACAAAGAGGCATGCATTATCGTAAATGTTCAAAAACAGAGCTCGTATCGTATCGTATCCTCATTTGCTATTTCTCTATTTCTCTATCTAATCCAGTACTTTCTTTTTCGTCTTTTTCAACTACTATTGAAATTTCCAAAACTCTCCTTCAGACAAAAGAGGAAAATGACGGCTCACTCGATCGAACGTCTCTCTCTGTGTCTATGCGGAATCGATATATTATATTCTGCTAAATCTTGCTTTTTAGTCAAACAATAAAAAGTCTTCTTTCTTTTTAGTCTGCACCGTCTTCCCATCTCTTTTTATTTGTTTATTACGATTCTATCCTTTAACACAAATTTTTTTCAGAGATACAAATTTTAAACGACAATGCTACGTAGTTTAAATTTTATGGCTCAAAAGTGACTCAAATGATCAAAACGACGTCGTTTTGAGTACAGAACAACATAAAAATGGCCAAAACGACGTCGTTTTGGCCATTTGAGCCACTTTTGAGCCACAAAATTTGAGCTACGAGACATTTTTCAATTCTAAATTTTAAAAACAGCTCCGCTACATACCACTCTAAAACGAGCTCTAAACAGGTTGCATGTAAGGTGTGAAACTGAAGGCCATTTGCATATTAAGTGTGTGTGTGTTTCACGCACGATAAAAAAAAAGAAAGTTAAATCCCGCGCAAATATTGATCGGCTCATGTATATAAAAGAAAAAAAAAATTCTCGCACATTTGATCTGAGCTTCTCTTCCACCGTTCCGTCGCCTCCGTCGTCCGGCGTTTGCCCTCTCCTCTACCGTCCGGCGTTAGCCCTCTCCTCCGTCGTCTCTCTCCTCCACCGTTTGGCGTTTGATGTCTCATTCGGCATTTGTAGATCTATCATCCGCCGTTTGTCTCCTCTACCGTCCGGCGTCTTCGTCGGACTTGGACTTCCATCTGGTCAGTTTCTATCTCTGTCACATAGCAAGATAGATATGGAAAAAAAAAAAACAGTTCAGAAATCTCCTGTTTATAAGTTAGATGTTTATAAGTTCAAGATAGATGTTTAAAAAACAGTTCAAGATAGATGTTTATAACCATGTTTAAAAAACAGGTTTGAACTCAGATGTTTAAGATAGATGTTTATAACCATGTTTAAAAAACAGGTTTGAACTCAGATGTTTATAATAGTTCAAAAAACAGTTCAAGATAGATGTTTATAAGTTTATGAAACATTTGAATTAATGAAACCAATGGTGGTTCCTTGAAGACAACCATGGAACTGATTTCAATCCTGTTTGCTTCCATTTGACGCTGATTTACTTGATTAACTATTAAACCCACCACTTGATTAACTATTAGCTACCATTCACACCACTGAATACATACACCACTACCAATCAGTAGAAGCAAACTACCACCATGGAATTCATAGCCTTCAAGGAACCACCATGGCATTTCCATTTGGTCAGATAGATATGAAAAAATAAATAAAATAACAACAACAACAATAACAACAACAATAACAACACAACACAACAATTCAGTTTTGGTTTAATCTGTTATACTTCAGGTCCAAACATTAATCTGTTAATCAGTTTTGGTCCAAACATTGGTTTATACTTCAGGTTCATTATTCAGCTATTATTAATTTTGGTTTATACTTTAGTTTTGGTCCAAACATTGGTTTATACTTCAGGTCCATTATTCAGCTGTTATACTTCAGTTTTGGTTTATACTTCAAGTCCATTATTGAAAGTTTAATCTGTTATTAAAACACAATAATCTGTTATTAATTTTTGAAAATAATCTGTTATTAATTCTTGAATTTAATTTTTGAATGAGCAGAAATGGAGATTGATTCAAATAGTGTTGAGAATCCTTTATTAAATGAGAGTGAAGAAGTTGAGGAACCTAAGAAGGGTATGTGTTTTATCTCAAAGCAAGAAGCATACACATTTTATGCCAAACATGCTAAACATGTTGGGTTTTCTATAGCTTGTAAAACACAAGTTATTGGCGATGATGGGGAATTAAGATACTTTGGGATTGAATGTTCTCGATCGGGGAAGAGAATTAAAAAATCAGAAGTAAACCCTTTAAAGCCATCTCTGTCCACAAAAATTGATTACAAAGTAAGGGTACAAGCAAGCCTGCAAAAGGATGTGAGATTTATATTAACCACAGTTAACCTTGAGCATAATCATGACTTGATCCCCACCGACTCACGTCATTTTGCAATAAATAAGAAAATCCTTAGTCCTGTGAAGAGAAAATTAGAAATTAATAATCAAGCAGGGATTGGGGTGTCTAGGAATTATAACTCAATGGTTGTTGAAGCTGGGGGTTATGAGTCTTTAACATTTGATGAGCGAGATGCAAGGAATTACATTGAGAGAGCTAGAAAATTGAGGCTTGGAGAAGGAGATTCCGATGCACTTCAAAAGTATTTTTTGAGAATGCACGCACAAAATTCGAGTTTCTATTATATGACTGATGTTGATACTGACTTTCGCATAAGAAACTTGTTTTGGACGGATGCAATGAGTCGGGCGGCTTATAAAGAATTTGGAGATGTTGTTTCACTTGACACAACTTACCTCACTAATAAATATGATATGCCATTTGCTCCGTTTGTAGGAGTTAACAACCATGGACAGTCGATTTTGCTTGGTTGTAGCCTATTGTCTAGTGAAGACACTAATACATTTGTTTGGCTATTCAAATCATGGTTAAATTGCATGTCAGATCATCCTCCAAAAGCTATAATAACTGATCAATGCAAAGCTATGCAAAAGGCTATAGAAATAGTCTTCCCCAATACTCGACATCGATAGTGTTTATGGCATATCATGAAAAAGATTCCAGAGAAGTTGAAAGGGTATTCCCAATATGAATCCATGAAGATGGATTTGCAAAATGCAGTCTATGACACTTTCACAAAAGGTGAATTGAGATGAAATGGAAAGAGATGATTGCAAAATTCAATCTTTATAAGAATCAGTGGTTGGGGATGTTATATGATGAGCGACATTAATGGGTTCCTATCTATGTCAAAGATATTTTTTGGGCTAGCATGTCAACGACACAACAAAGTGAGAGCATGAATGCCTTTTTTTTATGGATATGTCAACCCAAAGACTACATTAAAATAATTTGTTGAACAATATGACAATGCCTTGAGAAGTAAGGTAGATAAATAGAAGAAAGCTGACTTCAAGTCTTGGCACAAAGTCTTTGATTGCCTAATTGTGTATGGTTTTGAGAAACAATTTCAAGATGCATACAACAATGCAAAATTCAAAAAAGTTCAAGCAGAGATGAAGAGACTAGTTTATTGTCAACCATTTCTTGTCAAAGAAGAGGGTTCAATTTGTACACATTTTGTGAAGGAAGTCGTGGTAGTTTTTGGGAAGATGAAACATGTGGACTTTATTGTTTATTATAATTCGACAGAATTTGATGTGCAATGTATGTGCCGGTTGTTTGAATTTAGGGGCATCATGTGTGCTCACTCACTCGTTGTGCTCATTGCAAGATGCATAAATGAGGTTCCAAATAAATACATTCTACCACGATGGAAAAAAAATTTGGATAGAGGGTCCACATGCATAAAAACCACATACACTGGCTTTGGAGATGATTTCAATGCAAAGATGTATGATAAGATGAACAGAAAATTGATTGGCATTGTACAATTTGCTGGAAACTCTGAAGGGAAAATAAAACTTATTGACCGTGGGTTGGATGAAATCCAGGCGAAAGTAATGAAAGATGATGAAGGTAGTGGGAGTAATGTAGCACCTTCGACTAGTAATGTCCCATCTTCCCCTATTGGCAGCATTAATAGAAAGGCAATCAGTCATACCAAGTTGCTTAGTCCTTTGGTTGCTCGCTGAAAAGGTCGTCCAGTTACTAAAAGAAAGATTGCCAAAGTAGATCAAATAGTTAATCGGCTGAAGGCAAGCAAAAGAAAACATAACAAATCAAAGGTAAATTGATTGGTATTCATACATATCCATCCGTTTTGTATCATTACTCTCTATTCAACTCATATTTTATTGTAATCATGTCATTCATTTGAGGCATTCATTAACCTTTATCAATATAGGGTACTAAAGTGCTTGGAGGTGAAGGTGAAAGTGAAGGTGAAGGTGAAGGTCAATGTCAATCTCAACCTGAACGTAGTGCACGTAGAGAGCTTTATCCTTATATGGTTGGCATGGAAAATAGTATGTGTGTGCCGGTACGTGTACATCGAGCAAACTGTTTTTCAATAATGTTTAGTAAACTGGTTTTAACATTTCATTTTAATTGAATAGGGACACATGGTCAATGCTATTGAAGGCACATCTCTCACCCCGACAAGTGTGGACATTATGAGAAGACAGTTTCATGAATGCCCCAACTCAAATTTATGGAGTTGGCACATCTTTGACCCCGTCGGACTATATTAGAGGCACACCGGGATTTATGACAACTCAACAATCCATGATTGCTACGCATCAAATTTATGGAGCCGTACCGTCTTCATTTGTTGACTTGAATATACAAATGGACCGCAATGACCATGGTGGTAGTTTTCGTTAGTTGGAAACTTGTAATTGTAATGTCTTTTATGTGACTAAACTTGGAGTTTATTTTGTTTTGAATAATTTATTTAATGTCTTTTTGGATTGTTCAGTTTCTTTATTTTTTGGTTGAAAACAAATTGATGTTGTTCCCTACTTTGTTGTTATAGTTAATGTTCCCAATTGATGTTATATTTGTGCTCTGTCTGTTATAGATTTAATGTGTTCCAAAATCTGTGTCAAAAATGTGTTCCAAATCTGTGTGAAAAATCTGTTACAAATCTGTTCAAAAATTATGTCTGCAAATCTGTCTTCAAAAACTTGTGTGGAAAAATCTGTCTTCAAAACTGTGTGGAAAAAACCTGTCTTTGAATCTGTCTTGAAAAACCAATATGAAAAAAATATGTTTTCAAAACTGTGTGAAAAACCAGTGTTCAAAAAATCTGTCTTCAAAAACCTGTGTGGAAAAATCTGTCTTCAAAACTGTGTGAAAAAAACCTGTCTTCGAATTTGTCTTGAAAAACCTGTGTGAAAAAATATGCCTTTAAAACTATGTCAAAAACCAGTGTTCAAATCTTTGTTGAAAATGTGTCCAAATCTGTCAACAATGTGTGCAGAAATTGTGTTCACAATCTGTCAAGAATGTGTGTTGACAAGTTGTCCAAATCTGTGAAGCACCTATGTTCAAATACACAAATAAATAAACAAAATCTGCGTTGAAAAGATGTCCAAATCTGTCAACAATGTGTGCAGAAATTGTGTTCACAATCTGTCAAAAATGTGTGTTAACAAGCTGTCCAAATCTGTGAAGCACCTGTGTTCAAATAAACAAATACATAAACAGAATCTGTGTTGAAAATCTGTCCAGATTTGTGAAGAATGTACGAACAAATTTTATTCACAATCTGTCAACAATATCTGTTCAAAATCTGTCCAAATCTGTCAATAATCTATGTTCAACCAGACAAACAAAATCTATGTTCCAAATTAGTCCAAAATCTGTTCATAATATGTGTTCAAACAGACAAACAAATAACTTTCAAAGTTCCAATCAGATAACAAACAATCCACATGATTATATATTCATACTTCTCAATCCATAATTGTAATATATCATAAATCTTTATACATATCATCTTTATAATTAATACAACACCAATTACATGTTCTAACTTGTATAAAAATTATTGCATCTTCATAACATCCATGTACAAGGATAGCATCTTTGGCCAAATAAAAAATTAGATAAGAAACTTCATTTGCTCATAAGTTACACTTGAGGAGGATGCCTGGAGATACCACTCGAGCTAACAGTTTATCAGTTGATAATGAAATAGAGATGGTGCCAAAGCCTCTAATTTTATACTGATTGGTCATAGAAACTAATAACAACAAAAGGTCCCTAATCAAAAAGAACTATTAATATGCATTTGGATGTTAAAAGTTAAACATAAATGAAAATCAAGAAAGGATGGCTTTCCTTCTTTTCCCCTATTTTTTCTAATGTCAGAAGCTAAGTAGAAAAATAATACAAATCCAAGAAAGATTTGGCAGTGGCTTCAAGGATGATTAAGCAATTTTATATATTCTCCACCAGATATATATTTTAGATTTTTTAGGCAAATCCAGTGTAATGTAAAATTGGGGCAAACCAAAATCAAAATCAAAATCATCCTAAACAGATGAAATCAAAGTCAAAGACACAAATTAGGGCATATAGATATAGATATATACATAGATATAAATCAGGGCATGAAATCAAAGTCAAAAATCTCAACAAATCAGGGCGCATAGATATAGATGCATATATATATATATAGAGCGAGCGAGAGAGAGAGAGAGAACTGACCTGTGCAGAAAAATCTGTGAAGACGGAAAGAGACTCGGTCGTCGTGTGTGACTCGCTCGTCGTTCTCGTGAGAAACTGCACTCGTCGGGGTTGTAGAAGCTACGTTCAACCTCGATCGTCGCTGGAGTTGGAGAGCTACGCTCGTCGTCTCGCCACTGTTGGAGAGCTACGCTCGTCGGGAGCTCCTCGACAAAGAGGCACAACAAAGAAGAGAAGAGAAGGAAGAATAGAGAGAGAGAGAGTCTTCAAATGTTTTGTGAAAATGAATTTGAAATTTGAAATGAATAAGAAAGAGGGAGAAACGGGCGAGTTTGCCTCAGCTTTCTACGTTGACAGTCACGTCATTAGTGTTGATTTAGTGATCAAGTTTTAGAGGTCGGAAGCATTTTTGTTTTAAAAAATGAAAATGTTATACCCACCCAACCACCTCATTCCCTGTAACCTGCCAGCCACTCACTACCACTCTTTCTTATTCTGTCATCAACGTTTGCCACCAACATTTTTTCTTTCATTCTATCAATTATTAGAAGAGTATACAAAACTATTAATTAAAAAACACTTCACACCAAGCAGTCCTTTTGTTGTGTCACTAAATTTTTTTAAAAGGAAAATTTGGCCAAAATCTCTTGATAATAAAATTTTAATGTATTAAAGATAAGTATAAAAAAAAAAATTTCAAAAGTCTAGCATATATCATTATTATCAAAATATTCTTAATGACTAATTTAATATTTTAAACTTTAAAATGATATAATTTTTTGATTTAGATGTCGATTTTTAATAAAATTTATATTTTTATAACCCTCTTATCAAAATCTATCAAATAAAATTAAAGTTGAGTATAAAATTCTTTAAAAAAAAAAATACCATCGAAATTGACATAAAACAATAAAATTTTACTTTGTTTCACACTAAAATTTTACTCTGCCATTACTAGAGTAAGGCGAAATCGCAATATCATTCAAAGTAAAATTTTACTATGTTTCATAGTAAAATTTACTATCGTTCAGCATATCAAAATTTTACTACGTTTCATAGTAAAATTTACTATCGTTCAGCATATCAACAATCAAAGTTTATTGTCATTAACCAAAGTAAAATTTTATTTACAAAAAATAGAGTACATATTAGATGAACGAACCAAAAATACAGATACACAACATTTCTAAACTTGTAAAATAAAACAAAAGCGAGAAATTATTGAATTGATAAACAATTATGTTAGCACAAGCCTAGTTTAAGGTATATTAGAAGAAATAAACAATGATTACCTTCTCTTTTTATCTATTTTTTCAAACTCAGACATTTAAATTATGGCTTGCGAGCTTCGCCTTTGATGATTGATGAATAAAGAAAACCATAGATTTTGAGGCTTTCAAAAGTAATTTGATAACACTACCAAATCCCAAATAGAGAAGGATTTCTCAAATAATTACAAAGTAAGAAATCCTCTTTGATGCAAATTTTAAATCTGTGAGATACATATATATATATATATATATATGCATGAATAATATTGTACAAGAAAAAAAAAATAAATTTTATTATGTCCTTACTCAATCATGGACTTACTTTTTAAGATATTTATAAAGTAAAATAAATTGAACTGTCTTTTTTACTCAAGAAAGAGTTTTGACCAAATTTTTATTTTTTAAATAACTCTCATCATTTTGCTATGTCATATATATATATATCTTGGTCTGTTGCTATATCATGTCAATGCTTGCCTTTCGGCTTGTAGGTCATCCAAATTGTTCGAGGGCCTCCGTTTGGCAAGAGCTTTTCTAGGTTTTTTTGGCTATTTTAGCCACAAAAAACAAAATAGGCTATTTTAGCCATAACAAACAAAACATCACATCCAACCCATAATCATTACATTCTTCTCTCACAAAAAAACTCAAAAAAGCTAAAAAGTCCTTCCCAAACCAAGCTTTTAAGCCCAGGCTAAAATAGCCAAAAAAGCCAAAAAGCCAAAAAGTCAACCCACTTCCCAAACGGAGTATGATTAGCAAAATAGTGATAAAAAAAAATGTAAGCTTTGAAAAGCAAAATTTGCCAAAGTTGCCATTTTTATTTTATTATTATTATTATTTTTTTTCTACCACTCCTTTTAATTAGGTGACAAAAGCCTGACTTTAAAGTAGGTGTGAGTAGCGGATATATCAATCTGTTTAAATCGACCAAATCGAACTGATCCACTATATTTTGGACGGATGCGTGATGACGAGCGAACAGTTGTAGATTAATTTTTTCTAATCCACCTAGTTTTTGACGGATGGCGGATTTGAGGTTTCTTTAGCCGCAACTGAACCACCAAACTGCGAGCACCTCTAGTAATTTGTAAGACTTTGTATTTTCAATTTATTTAGATATTCTATTTGTATTTTTAATTGAAAAAGAGTTTAAATATTCTGTTGAAAAAGATTTTTCAACTCGAATATATTTTTTGAATTGAAAAAAATAAATGTATTATTTATTTATATTTTTTGATGTTTAAATCTAAGTCTAAAAATAATCAATAAAAAGATGATATATTGTGGTTGGTTTTTATTTTCAAAAACAAATATAAATATAACAGTACAGGAGCATACAATCTGTACTACTGCTCTGTTTGTGATTTTAGTAGTTTGAATTGTTTTTATATTTTAAGAACTACAAATTGTAATACTTTATGTGGATAAAACATTGTGATTATAATTTATAGATGGGACATACAGTGATTGTAATATTTTAAAGTTTTAAACTTTTTTTCATTGGATGAAGCAGTCATTGACTGTAATAAACTTTTTTTTTTTTTGAAAAAATACACAAGTTAAATTATATTAAAAATTTATAAAATTTTAAACTGCCAAACCGATTCATATTTATTTGCCAATCCGCTTAATCCACATCTACCGAATTGACGGACGGATGCAGATTGATTTTTTCTAATCCACCAATCTGACAAACGGATGATGAATTAAAGATTCTGTGGCCGCAACCAACCCGCGCCCACCTTTACTTTCAAGTAAAACTTACACTTCAAAAAAGAAATTTTTTTTTTGAGATGCTAATTCATCATACACCCAAACCTGACTTATTGGCCCAAGGCCCAAGGCCCAAGTAGGGTTCTGCTACTTCCATTTTACTCCACCCCAAGTCTCCACCATGCACAGACATCACTTTAATTTGGTATTAATTGCAAAAAATTTGTAGAAATTTATATTAACCACTTTTACTGGATAAAACTTCGTTTGTATGCACTTACTACGGAGAGTACCTACAGAGTATGAGAAAGCTGCACATAAATATTATTTTAACAGTACATGATTTACATCTCTGTACAACAACCATCGTCTCTGTTTATTTGTCGTTTCCACCCCCAAGCTTTCATTCATAACATTGCAACAAAAAATAATAGATCCTCTGCAAACCACCTAAATTAAATGTGTCGGCTTATAAAATGGTGCAGCTCCCTTGTTCCCTGTAAAAGAATGTTCACCATCAAAAAATATGAACACAGAATCTTAGTGTTAACATATATATAGTATGAAGTGAAACCTACTTCTTTAAGTCTTCGTATCGACTTAATGCTTCCTCAAATTTAAGCCAAAGTGGACCTGTCTCCTGAAGGTTTACGTTCTTTGGCCCTGCAAGATAAGCCTGAACAACAAACTGTGGGGTCCTTTCCCTGATTTGGCACCAGATGATAATCATTAAGTCAGTCAAAATATATTCAATCAAGAAGAACACTTTGACAAGTAACAGATGGATGGTTTTTGGTAGCAAACAAACTTACCTCCCTTCATATTGTGATAACCAAGCCAAATAGGCAGCGCCGAAGTACAAGGAAACAAAAGGCTTCGTTAGATCATCAACGGACTCTACTATGTGAGCCTTGTAGCCCAAGTCCCTACACATCAGAAGCAAACATTCAAGCAAAATTCAGCCTTGGAATAAGCATATTCTGCTTTAGTTTCACTAAAAATGTATAATATCTTATTAACAATTTGTTCAACAAGAAGCATATGGAGGTTAAAAAATTTAGTGATTTCTAATTTTAATCAACATCAATTTGGTTATGCTCCATTTATTATGATAACTTAATTTCCAATACGAAGGCAATTGGATCAATTCAGTTCATTCTAATGAGGTATCCTGATATCCTGTAACAAGCCAAAATGACAAAGTTGCTAATAAACACCATCTTAAAGAGCATGAGATGTTGAACTTTATTTTATTTTATTCCATAGAGTAAGATGCCAAAGAGCTTTGGTGGTCAAGCAGGAGATGATAGAGGCCCCCTTGCTTGGATTCAAATTCCCATCTTCACATACACTATGACTGTTTATCCACACCTGCATTACTATGTTCTAAAACAAACATTCAGTTTGAGCCCTGGAGTTCACATACTTGTAAAGCCAGCAAGCTGTGGGGTAGTCAATTCCCATTATTCCTGGACGAGGTCCAATCCCATTCACGAAACGCATGCTAACAATCTCAGCAAGAGCACACAAAACCGTCTGCACACCAGTGAATTTTAGGAAGGAAATCAAAAACAAAAAACAAAAAACAAAGACAATAACAAGTAGAAGAGTCGAGAAAGATAAGATCAAGAATAGAAACTTCAAGTAACTAGGATTAAATAAAATAAGCAATGGTAGCATAATGGGATTGTGGATCGATTCGTAGGATCACATGATCATACTTTTCAAAGTGTTTTTGTGATATTCTACTTATCTTTCCAAATCGTTACACCTTCTACCTCAAATAACAATAATAAATAAAGCTTGTAACTTGTAAACATTGTGAATCAATCAACTAAGATTTGATTTCATTTAGATTTTGCAACAAAATCCTACAAAGTTGAGGAGGTGACCGTCAAGGACAATGTTGCATTGAGTGCTCCGATGAGGTGTCTCCTATTTTGAAATGTATGCTTTTAATCTTTTTCAAATTTGCCTTTTATTTTTATTTGAATTTTTTGGTTAACCGTTAAGGACAATGTTGCATTGAGTGCTCCGATGAGGTGTCTCCTATTTTGAAATGTATGCTTTTAATCTGTTTCAAATTTGCCTTTTATTTTTATTTGAATTTTTTGGTTATTTGACTCCAGATGTTTCATAGCAGTTGAATCCACCTCTATAATTATCAACCCAAGCTTTTAAATCTCACCGAGCAAGCATCTAACAAAAAGAAGAGAAAGAACATAAACTTTAATTAAAGGAAACACAATGATATGAATTGGTTATAATTCTGAATTTAAATATGGATTAGTTAGTGAATACACCCACATAGAAATAGATGAATGTGAGAAAGTATGTAACAATTTCAGAAGGATTTGCATTAAATAATAGAAAGGATAAAAAAAATGGGAAAAAAAAAATTATAGGAGGTGGCTTCAATGGCCACATCTTATGGAGGAGCAGAAATGTTGAAAAGAGCTATGAACATTATAATTAATTATAAATGAAACAATGTCCAATGGGAAATCTAAAGATAGTGGGCCATCATCTAAAATTTTTTGGTGGTGGAATAAAGAGCTTTAAAAAATAATTAATATAACATGATGTTGGATAGCTTGATATACATTGTTGGGCTCATTTCCTAACAACTTCAGCTTTTGGCGCTAGTGGTGACTTAACAATGAGTTTGTCACAAAGGATAATAGTTCCCTAAAGAGCATGGTTTGACTAGTCGGCCTTCCCTTTGAATGTATGGTGAAACTATGACCAAGAACAAACACCTCAAAGTTTTTAAATTTCTTAGGACGTAAAAGAATAAATCAGCCACATAATGGCATCTTTTTTACAAACCATGTAGAGTACTTACTGGTTTTACTCCTCTTGTACTAAAGTGTTTTGACAGTATAATTTCTGTAATTGCCTGCAAGAAAAAGGCAACATGTTAGAAAAAGAGAGTCAAAGCCACTCAGTTAAATTCACTAATCTCAACTGCAGGAATTAGTCTATCCCTCCTTCAGTCCTCGAACAACATTAGTCCAAATGATCTAAATTTTTTACTGTTATGACCTTGTGTTTTTTGTACATTTTGTACAAGGGTTATGTATGCCCCTCTTGATTCTTTGTACTTGACTTCTATTCTTTCATATATTTTTATGGAAAATCTCACCTACCAGAAAAAGAAAAAACAAGTTAAAGCTTCCCAAATGACTCAAGGAGGGCCAGAAAGAATGTGGGAGGTCATTTCTTGAGATAATGTATTCAAATTCTCACAACCATTAAAAGCCAATTGATGGAAAATGACAATTACTTGCATGCTGTCACCAAAAGAGCTCCAGCATGTTTTGATCAACTTGATTATGGAAGTTAGCTTATCCATATACCACTTTTTGTGTTTAAATTAAGTTCAAAACCTGCCCTAATTCAGTAGCTGATGGTAACTATTCAAAGATTGGGTGAAGTTTGTCAACTGGTCATGGAAAATAAATTATGCTTTCTTAGTTGTCTTATAGATAACCAATGAAGCGGAAAATGGCGACCAGTAACAAAGAAGATGAAGGGGGCGGGGGTAGCATGAGAATATAGCAGCAGGGGAATCATTCAAAATATCCAGTTATGATAAAAACATGCAAGAAAATAAATATTTTGCAGATCCATATTATTTAATCTTACCCTTAACTCTACCCGAGAAAGATAAGGTCTATTCTCAGCATCGTGAGAAAATCGCACTTTTCCCTGTTTCTCCCCAGATTTGCTCCACTCTTTACTAACAATAGGATGATTCCACATCTCTTCCATGTCTTCTGGAGAAGCTCTAGAGTCCCAAGTTGCGTTAGCAGCACCTGTTCCCTCATGTAAAGAAAGTAAGTGAAGTCATCTGAGGGTACATAATTGATAGTTTTTACCAAGAATGAATATATATATTTTTTTTGGATAAATTTTTACCAAGAATGAATATATTATTGAAAACATCAATACAATTAAATGTTGATAGAAACTAGATCAAAGTTGAAGAAAATATTAAATATCAGGTATTGCCCTTAACATAAAAGAATGTGGTGGGTTTGTCCCTTCTAGATCAAATCAAATGGGCACGCGGGTTTTTTAATGATTCTTTAAAGGAGCTAAAATATAACTAAAATAATAATAATAACGTCAACAATAATAATACCTACACCTGCAGAATAATTTTAATTTTTTTTATCAGAGATGACATCTCAATAAAATAAATGAAACGAAGAAAGAAGAGCATGTGTTCCCATGGTAAATGAACTTTTTTTTTTGGTAATTAAGGTTTATTAAGCAAGGAACATGGTAAATGAACTTACTAATCAATTAGCAGAGGTTAGAAAATTAAGTTTCTCGATTTATTTGCACATAGAATCCTATTCCAACAATTTGTTGCTGCAAGAGAATTCAACAAATTCCACTGTTTAATACATTAAAGACGTAAGGCCTAGTTTGGTTGTCTGGACTGGATATAAGAGTTTGAGGAGCATATATAATACCTAAGGAAAAATATGGGATATAATATGTTATAAGATATGAGATGGATTATATATACTGCGGGGTCACTTATACTATCTTTGGTTCAGATAAGATATAGGATGGGATAAGAAAAAATTAATTATTTTTGACCTTTGGATAAAAGATTTCTTATATCCGACGGTGGGGGATATACAATACCATGGGGGTGGTATCGCATAATCCCCCTTTTGCATCATATACTATCCGGACTCCTTATGTCCGAAGCAACCAAACACGGGATATAGGGAGACAAGAAAACAAGTGGGACTCACCTCATATTATATCCGGCCCCACCCTCGTATCCACCTCTTATATACGGTAAACAATCAGGGACTAAGAGAATATAATGTTTTGCCTAGGGCCCAGAAACAAACACAAAACAAGCAACCAAACAAGAAACACACAAGATTTACATGATTCGGCAAATCGCCTACGTCCACGAGGAGCGGATTTCACTAATTTTAAGAGAACAAACAAATACAAGTTGATGCTGCAGGTTTAGGTTCTGGAAATGCAACTTGTCCACTTGCTCTTCTAGAATCTGAGCCAACCCACTGAGTTGACTCAATGCGCCACACAATGAATCAACTCAATTCAACATATAATACCAAGAAACATAAATATGTAAAAGCATATGCATGGACAAATATGACAGATCTGTAAAAGCATCCAATAGCTATCTTTTTCTCTCTCCTTTTTTTTCCCCTTGTTTATTCTACAGAAATAACATTGTAATTGCAAAATGATCACTGTGATGACAACACAACCCCAGAAGATATTTGTCAAGAAGTCACAAACAGTTTTACCATTCCAAGTACGCTTTTTTTTGGGCGAATAATTCCAAGGAAGCTTAAACTTGTGCTATTATAGTTTTCCTGATCTATGTTTGATATAACAAGTTACTAAAGAAGAGTCATGTTAGATGTAAGCACCTGAATAATACAATTGAATGAAAAATTTTGAATTTTTGCTAAGCTTGACCTTATGATATCATTTGACCTAAACTTTAACATACTGAGCAAAACAATTATCATCAATTAAGTAGGCAAACACAAAAAGGTTTCTTAAATGGTGTATAGTTGAAGTATGTAAGTTGAATTATTTTCATGCAAGTTGCTTCAAAAAGAGTACCTGTCGTTTGTTGAACTGGAGCAGCAGAAGCAGATGGATCGTTCATGGGACCAACTTCAAAAAATTTTCTGAACAAAAATTATATATGTTGTAATAAATATCAGAAACTTTTAAACCCTTTTATTTGTGCAAGAGACGTCCAACTTCATGATTACTAGCATTATCAGTAAAGACTGCTCAGTATTCTTATCAATGGTTGGGACTCATAATAATGTGCCTTCACTGCAAGTCTGAAACTGAATAGTAAATGCTAATGTGAACATCAACATAGGATACTGCACCTATACCATGGATAAAGCGAACGCAGATATGGTTAATTGAAACATTGCAAAAAGGCTTTATTTTGTGTCTATATTTTATCATTTGATACACACGTGTTGTAGGGAATGTAGACAGAGATCAAGTTCTTTTGGAGACTCAAACAAAAACAATATTAGTAATAACATGTCTTACATCTAACCTAACTGGCACCTTCGAGATAAGTAAGAATTGGGCTGACAGAATGGCACAAACATCATATAGCATTGAAAGATACGTGCAAACAAAACTTTATCATTATAATTTTCAAAGCCTGAGCCAAACAATGATAAACTCTGCCAAACTACTGCTCAAACGTCTATCCTTAGGCCCTCTTGAAAACACATATTTAACCTTATTTTATTATTGATTTATGTTTTTTGTATGTACCAATCAAAGGTCATCAAGAGTCTGTTCCTGTATACTAACGGTACAAAGCAACACCTGTGCACTTTCCAGGGAAGCTACATGGGAAACTTCCAGTGTGTGTATATATATACACACATTTTCAGTTTACCAAGTATTTTGAACATTTGCACTTCTAATCATCATTTATGAAAAAACCACAATTTATTTCTTCTTTTGCCTCCTTCTAGACAGAAAGAGATTTGAGGTCTTTGGACCTCACAACCCCATACAGATACCAGGCTGCAATTGGTTGTAGGCTTCTTCAGTTCACCCTATTGACTTAAAAGAAGGACTAATTACATAGAAGAAAAATAAAAGGAAAGGATGTGTGCAAACAAATGCATCGTGTAACTTCATTATCTGTATATTATAAAAATTTAAGTAATGTTCTATAAGATGCACAATATAGTTTCTTATGCATCTGTTTCATTCATTAAGAGTGTCAGATTTGTGGATTATGTTACCTGGAGTTTAAGTGTGGGCATGTGTGTAGTGATCGAATAAGAAGAAGATTATCTTTAATTGTCAACATGGATACTCCAAGTTACTCAAATGGTAAATCCCATGTAAACAACCAGGAGGTCTTAGGTTCATGTCCCTAATTCACCCGATATGTAAGGCTAGCAGGTGGGTGGTTGCACATATTTGGGGTTTACTCCAGGTCTCACTGAAAGTGGGGCCAAGGGGTTCCTTATTATCAAAAAATGTATAATCCAAGTTAAAGCAGAGGGTTCAGGAAACATGGCTTGTGAAAATGTTAGGCTTGAAGCTTGATGTTAACATCATGGGATGAATCAATCACCTGGATGGAAGGCTTTCTTTAACCCCAAGATATCGTCTCCAATATTGCAAAGTCGATTTGTGAGTTGCCTTCTTCGTACCACCTTTATAAGCCCTCACTATGAACTCTTCACTTCTTTCTCTGCAGACATAATTCTAATATTAAAACTTCAACAACAAACAGAACTCAAATTGGAGGTTCTTTTATCACTATTCCAATAAAGTATTGCTTGTAAAGAAAAATGACACATAGAAAACCAAAAACAGTTTTACATGAAAGATGGAACAAATTGAATATATAACTGTCAACTTACTGTTGGCTATAATTTGACAGCCAGTTAAGGTAGGAAGCACCAAGATACACATTTGTGAAGGGCCTGTACAAAAGTTTTGAATTCCCTTCCACTTCGTACGCTCGGTAACCCAACTCTCTGCAAGAAAATTCTGGTTTTTAACTTCATTTCACCAGGAAAAGAAAAGAAAAAAATAAATCATGTTCTTATCTGAGAGTCTACCCTCAGATTTAAAATCGGAACACTGGTAATACCTGACTAGCCAATCTGCTGTCTTTGGTAAAATTTGCATGATTCCCACTGTAATTTCTTTAGTTTTTTTGTTATACCGTGTAGAAATAGGCTGTCTGTCACTTTCAAGTTCTGCAATAGCACAAATCATGTCCTGCAGAATACAAAGGATGCCAAATTTCAAGTTCCACAAGATTTTGACTTTCTATTCATGTGTACTTTTCAGGTTATTGATCACCAAAGGCATGACCAAATATGCAAGGAATTCCAACTTATTGTTGTTCCAACAATGCTAGGTATCATGAAAAACCTTTCATGAAAATAATCATGAAAGCTTTGTGATCCTTGGATTACACTTAGAATAAAGTACCACATACTAATCAAGGTAATCTAAGGATCATAAATTTTTCATGATCATTTTCATGAAAATTTTTTCATAATGCCTAACTTTTCCTTTGCTAAAATATTCAAGTATTTCGAACCCAGAAAAATGTTCCAGGTTGTAATTTTGTGTAATTGCAGCTGAATCGTCAAGAGCAAATGATTGTGCCTGCGTTTGGTTTATCTTGGAATCATGATTGAAACGCAAAATTTTCAAATCACTTTTTAAAATTCATAACCAAACACAACTTAAAATTATTCAAAATTCAATTCAAAAATTAATTTCAAACTCATAACCAAACACAAAACTCAAAACTCAATTCAAAACTTTTTTTAAAACTCAAAGCCAAACTCTTTTCAAAACTCTATTTTAAAAGAAAAAATTCAAATTTTTTTTTTTATTTTGTTTTTTAAAATTATTTTTAGAACCATGATTTGAGTGTGGAATCGTATTTTGAGTTATGAGCTTTGAAAAGAGAAAATTTGTTTGGTTATAAGTTTTGAAAAGAGTTTTGGGTTGTATTTTGAGTTTTGAGTTGTATTTTGAAATTTTTTGGATTTTTTTTTTAAATATTTAAAAAACTTCTTAATTTTATTTTTTTAGGATCTAGCATAAATACACTAAATGCCAAAAATACAAACAAACAGAAAAAACGAATTTTTGTAGTTCAAATTTTTTGAAAAAAAAATTCCAAAATCACTTTTAAAAAATTTTCAAAATTTCAAAGTGTTTACAAAACCCACCCTGGAGTGGGAATAAATATTTTATGTTTTAAATATTTATTTATTTATTTAATGTGCACTATATTTCGGGACTTTTCCCATATTAAGCCAAATTATCATCTTAATTCCCAAACTAGGCCTAGTTTGGACAGAATTTCCAAACTAGGCTAAAGCGCTATTACAAAACATGCTTTCACTGTTTGGGGCCGAAAATTTGATCAACATTGAAAGCTTAATACAAATAAAAGTGTATTTCTCCACAAATAAATTTTGTCAACATTTTTGTAATAAAACTTAATACATAATATAAGAAGTCACTAATTTACTAAATACTCATACATGCGTGAAAATTGAAAGTAGTATGGAGTTTCAAATTATGTGTTTGGTTATGAATTTTGAAAATAATTTTTGAATTGAATTTTGACTTATGTGTTTGGTTACGATTTGAGTGTGAAGTTGTGTTTTCAATTTAAAATATTAAAATTAAAAATTAAAATATTTACAAAATAAAATAAAATGTTTGAAATAAAAATATTTAAATAAAAATTATATATTTAAAATAAATATATATAATTTCTTAAACATTTTTTAATATTTTAAAAAATTAAATCCAAAAAATTCAAAATACAACTCAAAATTCAAAAACTCAAAACTCAAAATACAATTCCAAACTATTTTCAAAACTCAAAACTCTTTTTAAAATTCAAAATTCAAAAACTCTTTTCAAACTCCTTTCAAAACATTTTTCAAAACTTATAACCAAACAAATTTTCTTTTTTCAAAACTCAACTCACAATTCTATACTCAAATCACAACTCCAAAAAAAGAATCACAATTTCAAAACTAAACCAAACGCGACCTGTATTTTTGTGTAATTGCAGCTCTATTTAACAAGAAAAAGTTTCGATAGAGAAACAACTCTAATGAAGTGAAGACTCTACTTCAAAGGCTTCAAGAGGATAGAGCTCCAGCGTTTTTTGTTCTAGTTTTCAGAAAATCTTAGGTTGCGTTTGGTAAAGGTTTGTAAATATGATTTGAGAATATGTGTTGTATTTTGAGTTTGTGAGTTTTGGAATTATGATTTAAGTGTAGAAAATTTGTTTTGTGAATGAGTTTTGGAAAGAGTTTTTGAATTGAGTGATGTGACATAATTTTTATACAAAAACTTATAACTCATAACCAAACACAACTCAAAATTCTATTCAAAACTCATAAAAAAAAGTTTTAAAAAAAAAATTGAAAATATTTTTTATTTAACATATAAAAATAACAAGTGCAAAAAAAAGATAAAAAATTAAGAACACTGTTCCGGTCAACTGGCCGGACGTCCGAGTACACAAATTTTCAAATGCGGGTGTGGAAATGTATTTTGAAAACCGTAAACAAACGCTGCACTCGATGCTGAATGTGGAAATGTGTTTTGAAAGCTGTACCAAACACAACCCTACTTCTTTATTTTCCGTATTTTAACGTTTTTAATGATTTTTTAAAATATTTTAAGCAATTTTTTTTTAATTTTTAGACATACCTAACATAAATACACTTACAAAGTATAATATTTGTGAAAATAATATTTAAAAAACACACTAAATACCAAAAAATACGAAAATTTAGTACATTTTTCATATTTTTGTGTATTTATTAGTTTTTTAAAATATTTTTTCACAAATATTTTACTATTTAGATACATCTAAGTAAGGTGCATTTAAAAAAGTAAAAAAATTACTTAAAATTTAAAAAATATTCACTAAAAAAAAAAAAATGCAAAAAACAAAAACATTTAATTTTCAGAAAATTAAAACCAAACACACTGATTGGGATTACCTTCAAAATTTTACATTACTGTAGCAAATAGATGAAGCCTTGCTGAATAATTTTGATTGTACACAAGCTCATTTGTGACATAGTATAAATATCTCAGTTGCAAATAATTTCACAAAAAGAAGTGCTTGAAGATAATACAGACATTGATCAGAAGATAACTTTCACTATAATGGCCACCAGAACATCATAACGGTCCAGTTAGCCCCAAATCACATAGAAAACATGCCAGGAGAGTAATATAATTTCATAAAACAATTGAAACAAAATATCAATTTAAAATGCATTGGACTCTAGGAATTCATGCGCCACTTGATTTGAGATTCTCAAAAGATTTATGAATAACTTGGTTTGAGAAGATGATCACTTGGTGATCTTCTATAAGATCTTTGCGATACTATATATTCCAAGTATAGAAAAACATACCGAATCTATCAGCGAAACAAAATGCCTGCGGACAATTATCCCAGCTACAGCCTGAACAGACAACATTGCATGAAAGGTGAACAGAAAAGAAGGAAGGCAGAAGCACATGACTTGCACATAATCCATAATCCATAATTCAACTTAACAAGGTGAAAAAATATGGTCACTTATAGAATAATCAAAAGATGATTGCATAAGAAGTGAATTAAAAACCTCATACAACTTATGGAGCTCATAATCGGAGTGAAATGCGCAACCAAATGATGAACAAACAAACAAACAAACAGGGACACAAAAAATATATATATATATATATGGTTACCACGTGATATGAAATCCGCTCTCCATAATACCCTCCCCAACCATGGGATAGGATCTCATCGTCCATCCAATGGACAGAAATAATCCTCGTCTTATCCCATGCCATATCCTACCCTAATATTAAACATAATACAAGTACATGGTATCTCATCCAATATCCTAGGTATTACTTATCCCCTAATCCTCTAAAATAATATTGAGCAACCAAACAGGGAAAGTCCTTTATACTGTCTACAGATGCTTTATGAGAATAATATATAAACATAATTTGATTTACCTTCATCTCAGTTTGTGTAAGATAAGGCTGACCATCAGGATCCCGTGAGAGGTGGACTTTCCGTCCCTTAGTCTCTCCAGCATTAATCCATTCATTTCTCACGTCAGGATCCATCCACAGAGCTTCCATGTCAAGGTGATCAACGCAATCATCCCAGTATTTGAAGCTGACAGCCATCCTACTAAACTTGATGGATGTTTCTATCGCATCTAACAACAGAAGAAAGGCAGAATTCAGAAGAAAATAAAATTATCAACAAAAGAGCCTCTGGAACCTTTAGTTAACCATATAAAAATTTTTGGTTGCAAGCATATCAAATAATAATCAAGACCAAACTGTCAAAAGATAGGGCACGCTAAGTGGTTCTCACATAAGATTGAGATTTGAATTGGGAACTTAACTAATAGTAGCCTCAGAATGTTCCATAACAAATGCAAACATTCCAATAGGTGAGCAAATATATCATGGAAAAAAATGCATGCTAAAGATGGAAGTTTTCATTATGATCAGATCGTATCATTGCCAATAAAAACCAGACTACGTAACACTTGAATGCATCATTCACCAGAAAATAATCTGAGCCAATCTGAGGGTAATAAACATAAGAAAGAGCAACTGAATCCTCATGTATATAAATAAGTAAAATTGAATGATAATATTTTTTGCATCTCTTGACTATATCAATCCCAATTATTTACAGACTGACTAACAGTAGGCAATTATTAAAAAACTACTTCAAGCCATATGACTGGCCTACCCTGTATATTGAAAATTTGTTATTCAAAGGGAAAGTATTGGCTGTATCAAAAAGCATCTATGTTCTGCAAAACATATATCACCTGATACAATAGCAATGTGATTACTAGAAGAGGGGGGCACGTGCTATAATCTGCATATTCTTGGCAGTCACAAATTTCTTTTCTATGCATTCAGTTGTTTTCCCCACATTGCAATTTCAGTAATCTTCATATATATAAATTTATTCCATAATAACACGGTTTTTTGGTAATGTTCATGGAAAATTATGATTCAATAGTTGTCAAATTGACAATCATAAAATCTGGTAAAAACACCAGAAATTAGCAAAAACAAGATCCATCACCGAAATCATGTGTCCATCTATCTGTATAAAATATCCCTGTAAGAGCAATTAGACTTCAATTCTACTACAATTTCAAGGGATTTTATTTTAAATTAATATTCCCTTATATATATACATATATATAGAGAGAGAGAGAGAGAGAGAGAGTTATAGAGAAATAATCACCAGAAGAGGTGCAGCGGAGGAGGAAGCATGCGATTTATTTTTTCTTCCCTGCGGGAGGCTTCTGAGGGAGGAAGAAACGACAAATTTAAGGAGGGAAGGAGAGGGTCTAAAAAACAAGAAATTAGAAATAAATAAAAGAAAGAAGAGGAGAGGAGAGGAGGGTTTGTGTTTACCTTGGTGATGTTTTTTGTCTGTCTGTGTTTGCCCCCCAACAGCAAATGGTGAGAGGAAGAAGATAATAATAGGAATGGGAATGGGAATACTCTCTCTCTCTCTCTCTCTCTCTCTCTGTGTGCTGCTGCTATTTTCTAGGAAAATTTGTGAACTTGGTTGAGCTGTTGCTGTTGGCGGATGGAATGGAATGATTGCGGAATTTCTTTATCGGCCAATATTGGGTTTATTGGTGGCAGTGACAGAGAGAGAGAGAGAGAGAGAGAGAGAGAGAGTGAGAGATTATATAATTTATATGGGGACGACAATTGGCGCGCGAGCCATGCTGTGCGGTGAGTCATCCTCATCACCGTCTGCCAGAAAAAGAAAAGATTTGCTACCTCTCTTGACTTCCCCTCACCACCTCATAAATAGTTTTTGCCTGCCGTTTTTTTGCTTATTTATATCAGTAATTAATCATATCTAATTTTGCTTTCAAACCCTTCTAATGCGGCCTTTGGGCCTGCTTTCAAGAAACCCAGTGGGGATGCGCTCGTGGCTCAGACATGGAGAAGGAGTCCAGCCATTTTATTTGAATCCAAAAATTATTTTAGTAGGCCTAACTTAAATTTTAAATTTTAATTATATCTTAATGTGATTTATTAACAAGGACAATACATATTAAATTTTAAAATAAAATATTATTTTTTTCTCATTATATATCCTATTCAATTGTATGTGTTCTTTTTATTTAAATCTCTTCATCTTCTTTTTCAAATTTTAATTATTTTTTCTTCTTCTTATTTCTTACTCCAAAACTCTCTTTCCCACCAAAACTCACTATTATCATCAATATCATTATTTTGTTACTTACAAGTAGAAAAAAAATTAAACAAAATCAAACAATAGATGAAATTGTTAATCATATTATTTAATTTTGATGATGTCTAAAATATATTAGTTAATATACATATTATTTGACACAAATTATTATCTTTTTAAAATATATATATTTGTTAAATATTATTTAAATAAAATAATATTATCTTTTTAAAATATATATGTTAAATATTATTTTAAATATTTTCAAAAACTTTACTATTCACTTTTTGAAAAATAGGGTTAATTACTATTCATCTTTTGACAAATCGATTAATTATATTATTTTGACAAAAATGATTATTTTTAAAGGAATTACACAGGTATACTCTCAATTACCTAGTGAATCCACAACGCCTAATTGAACCAACCTTTATGTGCCTCTTCCAACCCCATCTTCACCACGGAATTGTCTTTCTGATGAGCCACTCCGGATTCCACCAAAGCTTCAGGCTCGAATTCTTCAGAATCCACAACTGAAGAATAACTCTCTCTTTTGTGTATAACAAACAAACTTTTGATGTACTCTCTTTAGATCTTGAGTTGAATACTCAATAAAAACATCAAAGAAAACTCCTAAAGTATCCTCAGATATAAACCCTAGAACCCAAAAAGTAGATCTGGAGTAGTTATCTTGAAAATCTGACCCAACACGCGAATTTATAGAATCTGTCCCGCGATCTCCGCTCGAGCTCAACACAGCCCGCTCGAGCGGACTGACCAAAAAACTGCGTGCGAACAAACTGAGCTGCGCTCGAGCGTAAGATAATCCGCTCGAGCGTAAAATCACACCTTCCAGTATTTTTACAGGCGACTGCAGAGATGCTGAGAGCTTCCAATCCACGCTCGAGCGTCCGTTTCCCCGCTCTGAATAACTTAAGAGACTCATTATACAACTTTTCATAGGCTTGCTCAAGCTCTTCATGATCGCTCTCCGAGGATTCATCATCAGTGATATTCTCAACTGACCTCTTTGGAGAATCTGTTTGTCCTTCAGCTTCAGAAGCCGTTTTCTCTGGCATTTATAATTTTCTCTGGCCACATTATGTTTGTCTTGTGTCTAATTTTCTCTGGCATATTTATTTTGTTTAATGCTCCATTTCCTCAAAATTTCTTTGTTGTGTAATTTTCTCTGTCGTGTTTATGTTGCTACCTTGTAATTTTCTCTGGGATTACAAGGTAATTTTCTCTGTCAAGGTAATTTTCTCTGTAATTTTCTCTGTTGCTACCTTGAAGAACCAATAAGCATCAAGATCAAGACACCAACTTCAAGGGTGATTTTCACTCAACTACAAGCTTAACATTTTCTCTGTCATTTTCATTGGATTATAATAACAAACCTATGATTTTCTCTATACTACAAAGAAAAGTCCAGAACCATGAATAGTGCAAAAAAAAAAAAAATGAAAAGTGCAAAGAAAACATATCAGAAAACTTTGAAAAGTGCAAACATATAAAAACACAACATATAAGTCCAGAGAAATTTGTAATACTTATCATTTGTAATACAATCATATGATTTTCTCTGGACTACAAAGAAAAGTCCAGAGAAATTTGTGAACTTATATTCACTTTCAATATAACAAAAACAAAAACACATTAACATCAAGAGACAAAAATATATTAAACACAAGCACATAAAAAAATCACAGAGAAGATCTGTTATGTTCACAAAACATTCAATTCAAATTTTTTTTTTTAAAAAAACAAAACACTTACTACTCTATTGCTACATCTGTAAATTTCTCTGCCTACTTACAATTTTCTCTGTGATTTTCACTGCACTACAAGTTTACAATTTTCTCTGTGATTTGAGTTCAATTATAGTAACAAACCTGCAATTTTCTCTGCACTACACAAAAAATGCAAAGTGAACAAAAAACAGAGCACAAAACGCAGAAAAACAGAGCACCAAAAAGGAACTCATAACCATGTTGACAGAGAATGAAAAAGCAACTCCAAAAATCAAAATCAACTCCATCGAAAATTCATCAATAATAGATAATGAAAAATTAACTTCAAAAATCAAAAAGAACAACACTGAGTTCGTCTCTCTCACATTGATCAAAACTAAAAACAAAAACCTAATTCAACACCTACACGATCAAATCAAATCAAAAATTGAAAACTTATCTATTTCAACTCCACATGAAATCAAATCAAACACAATGAACCAGATTTCAACTCCTACACGATCAATCAACACCTACAAACAACGAACATGATTTCAACTCGTACAGGATTTCAACACCTACAAACAACGAACAGGATTTCAACACCTACAAAACCCTAGAAAATCTCCACAAAAATCTGAATCGTTAAGTTCATCCTCACGTAATCTCCCACAAAATATCAATATGATCTTTAGCTGCCAAATTGAAAACAACGTATATTATAAACAAGGGTAAGACAGGTATTTTACACTCTAAAATAACATTGAGGGACCTTAGGCTACAAAAGAACACATTGTGGACCTAATCCATTACTAAAAATTGGATAGGGACCTTAAACCGATTTTCCCAAGAAAATATAAGTATTTACATAAATATCAAAGTATAATTATTTAATTTTGTATTTTTTTTTTTACATAAAAGCAAATATTCAACCTGTTTTTTGTTATTATTGTAAAGATTTTTAGAACCAAATAAATTCACTTTGTTCAATAATGTACAATTGAATAAAGTAAATTTGTTCAATTCTGAAAGTCCGAATGCAAAGTCCACCCTTTCCTTTACCTTTGTCGGTGCCAGCTTCTCTGATCGTGTTTCCTGTATGTACGTGAACAAAAGAAAAAAATTTCAAAGGGTTTCCTAAAGTAATTTGATTTTTTAAATTTGTTTTATTTGAGTGTACCTCAAATAATAGTTCGAGAACAAAATATAGTGTACTTAGAATAAATTGTAATTCTAAATAATTTAATAAATTATACTGAAAAATTAAACTCACTTAGGCCAAGTTTGGCATGTCTTGAAAAAGACAAAAAGTCAAAAAGTTACTCTAAAAATTAAAAAGTTATCACTATTCATCAAAAAAAAATTAAAAAATTAATTTAACACATAATTACATTTTGGACAGCTCAGCGATCCAATAGGCCGAGTTGATTTTTGGGAAAAATTGCACGGTTTTAGGTGCACAAATAACACGGTGATGTTCGGCCTGTAAGGGCCATCACGGGTCTCATTTTAATAATCTGAACCGTCAATGTGTAGAACTCGTCGAGTACTATATATTTATAAGAAATCATGTTGATTGAATATCAATAAATATATGATCAAATCAGTTAAAATTTATAAAATGAATGGTGTTATAGTTAATGGCTGGAAAAAAAATAGTTCGATTAGATAGTTATCGATATCCGATCAACGTGATTTTTTACAAGCATATAGTACTCGACGAATTCTATACATTAACGGTTTTGATTAGCAAAATGGGACCCGTGATAGGCCCCCACGAGTCGAATAGCACCTCCAATTCAATGCCTGAAAAGTAGAGAATCATATCCCAGGTACACTCTGCACACGCTGTCCTCAATTATCTCACCGTACTGCCTATTTCCTCACAATCTTCTCCTACACACTAATTTATATAATTTTTTAATATATATTTTTTCATAAAAAGTCAAAAAATTATCCCAAACAATCATTTTTTTTTCCTTAAGTTTTTAGTCCAAAAAATCAAAAAGTACACTTATTTAGGACACCGCAAACAACCCCTTATACATTTTTTTAGATGTAAATAGAATTCCCCCATCAGGCGTTGCCTTCTCCCTTTTTCTCACACACCTTACCTATATATTTTCAACAAAGGACTAGATGGTCTTCCGTCCTTCATCGGACTAGCCAGTTCAATCAGGCTCATACGGTTCATTTGGGAAGTGAATTGATTTTTTGACTTTTTATGCTATTTTAACCTGGGGTTAAAAATTCTTGTTTGGAAATGACTTTTGGTTTTTTTTGTTTTTTTGTGAGAGAAAGAATGTAATAATTATGAGTTGGATGTGATATTTTGTCTTATTAGGCTAAAAAACCTATTTTATTTTTTATGACTAAAATAGCAAAAAAAAAAACTCCAAACTTGGCTTCCCAAACGAAGCCATATGGCCAAAATTTGGGTTTTGTTTTGATTATTTAAACTATTTACATTTTAAGATTTGTCAAATTTATCATCATTATAAAAAATCAAGTCAATCGGACAACGAAAAACATGTATTCATATCAATTTTATATAAATCATTAATTTTTCTCACTGTCCTTTTTTTTATACAAAATTGTTAAAAAAACATTATTGTCGTTATTCGATTGATTTGTTTTTTTGTAGAGACGATACACTCGGCAAATAAGCGGTTCGAATTGTCAAAATATAGCTCAAAAGTAGACCTATTGGGCCAGACAACACATCTTCAATCCAATAAAGGTCTGGAAAGAAGTTGGGCCCTTTCAACAAAATTCATGTGATTTGTTCTTTTCAAAAAATGGGTAAATTAAAAGGAATATGTTTGAGATTCTAATTTTTTTTTACAAGTCAATCCACAATGAT